TTTCCTTAATTTTTAGTAAAGTGCTTGGCGCATCCACTTCGTATTTCAGGCGGTTTATGAGCGGCTGTTTATATGGGTCGTTGAAAAGGTGAACGAAGCGATCAGTGTTGAGAAGAGCAAATATGCGAGCAGTAGCACAGTGATCGGTGTTCTGGATATCTATGGATTCGAGATATTCGCTATCAATAGGTAGCTTTTCCAGCAGCATCCTTCATCTGTTTAGTCTTATTATTTTATCACTTAACTCACATTAAAATACAATACCACGGTGCACATGCATTAAAAGGATAGTGATTATTAACTAAAAAAAATGCAATAGACTACTAAAAACCCGGTACAGGTACGTCCGGCGTTTGGGAGCATTCCATTAATATCATTCGCATGGGATACCCAACTGACTGTTCAGACGGTCTAGCTTGTGTATGATTTTGCTTACAGTTTCGAGCAGTTGTGTATAAACTATTGCAACGAGAAGCTGCAACAACTCTTCATTGAGCTTGTACTGAAGCAGGAGCAGGAGGAATACAAGCGAGAGGGAATCCAGTGGACGCAGGTACCACACTCTGGAATTCTAAAAGTAGCCTGTAGAAACTGCGTGAACCATTTCACCATCAGGTTGTTTGTAGATAGCTCTCAGAAGAGGAATCCGTTGACAGTCTTGCAGCGAGTAGTTGATGTTACCGATTGACCATTTAAACGAGTTCCCGAATGCCTCCACTTTTTTGATTTTTTTTTTCTGCGTAAACTGTCAATAATAATCCTGAAATTTGGCAAAATTTATAAGCTGATGTGCAAAAAATGATAAGTCAGTTCAGCATTACTCCTATTTGGCTAAGTATAATTTTTCATCCTTCGTAAGACGCTAAGCAAACCCTAGGCTGGAACGCATTAGACTTGCCAGTGTGATTGTGCGTTTTTGCACCAGATGCGAAACAGTCAAGTCAACTGTATGGATGATTGTTGCTTTACATTTGCCCTGTGCACCTCATTGGCGTACATCGTCATATATTTTGTATAAAGAAAAATGAACAGTTTGCGTTAAATGGTGGTTTTTATGCGTTTTTTGCAGCAATGCAATGCGAAAAACGCGTATTGACGAGAGGTT